CATGGCTTCTACCTCCCTGGTGTTGCCCCTGAAGATTTCCAAAAGGTCAGTTGTCGCATGCATACATGCATCGACATCATCATCCGTTTGTCATGTAATTCGGATCTTTGGGTTGAATTGGTTTTTCCGTTCTGCTGTTGGGTTTATTTAGATTTGCGTTTTATGAACTCTGGAATAGCCATTTTTGTTTAATTAATTTGTCATGATTCTATGGAAGTAGGTTTGAAAAGAGTCTAGTTTTTAGTTTTTTAGTATTAAGCTGTTCGTTGGGCCATTGTTTGAAAGAGATCTCCGGTTCGAGCAGCTGTGAGGATGTGTACATTGTTGACGGTTAAGAAAGATTCTGACCATATGTTTTTTGTAATCCTCCCATATATTTTTCAAAAAAAAAAGTTCATTTATTATCAATACAAGTTTCAATGGTCAGTTTTGGCTCAAATTTTGAAGAAAATTTATGAATTGTAGGCATTCCTTAAAGCTTACCGAGTCAAGGTGACGGTTTCAGTGTAATTTTACTGAATATTCTTAGTTTTCCCTCCACTTATGCAGGGGGATCCATTGTTGGTGAAGTGAATAAGCTGACTTCGACTAAAACGCTACTTCCTTATTCTTACTATTCCTGCCGTATTGTCAGCCTGAACACATACTTGACGTTGCAGAGAATCTCAGAGAAATCCTTCGTGGTGATCGAATTGAAAACTCTCCTTATGTGGTGAGTTTGAATTCCATGATCATTTCTTAGTTCTCTTTGTTTTTCGAGTTTTTTCAGTGGTTAACAGGCTTACATTTTTCCAGTTCAAAATGAGAGAACCACAAATGTGCAATGTTGTGTGTCGTAAGATTCTTGATAAAGAAATGGTGACTGCGTTCAGGGATAAGATTGATGATGAGTACCGGGTTAACATGTGAGGCTATTGTTCGGGAAATTCTTAATTGTAGTATTCCATTTCTTGTCCGAGTAGCAACCGATAATCATGATGTGCTTGTGACAGGATTTTGGATAATCTTCCATTGGTTGTTCCGATAAAAGGACCGATCAGGAAAATGCTGTAGTGTATCAGCAAGGATTTCATGTTGGTCTCAGAGGAAAGTATGCTGGGGTAAATGCTGGATTGATTGGAAATTTTGTAGAAAAAAATTAATCTTGTTGCCACGTTGTTGAGGCTAACAATGCCTGGTTTTTTGGTTTCTACGTGCAGAGAAAGAAAGAAAAACATTTTATCTACAACCACTTGTCATTTACAGTCAAATATCGCAAGGATTGATCGGCAAACTCTACAAGAATTGTTGGATTTGAAGTCAAACCATTCAGGATAAAATTTTCATTATTAATGATGAAGGCATCAATGGTGTTGGTGTTGTTTTGTAGATTTCTTAGCGAATCATTTGGTGAATGTAGTGTTAAACATGAATACGATGGTCATTGGAATGAGAAGACACGTCTGATTACCTGTGATCCCCATGCACAGGAGCTCGACGACAAGGAGATAATCTTTGCATATGACGTGGATTTCCAGGTAATTCCTTGTACCTCTTCATAAAACAACAATTCCATGCTGTACTTGTTATGGTTAGGGTATACCTTCTGATGTTATCTCATTCAAAGAAACTTGCTCCTTGCTGTAATCTTGCAGGAAAGTGATATAAAGTGGGCATTCCAATGGATTCCTATCTTCTGATTGCTGATGATCAAGTTCATTGGTTCTCGATTTTTAATTCTTTGTTGATTGCTCTTTTCCTCTCGGGCATGGTGGGCCATGATCATGCTGCGGACTTTATATCGGGATATCTCAAAGTACAACCAACTTGAAAACCAAGAAGTTCAAGAGGAGTCTGGGTGGAAACTGGTCCATGGGGTTGTTTTCAGGCCTCCAACGAACTTCGACTTGCTTTGTGCGTCTTTCGGAACAGGGATTCAGTTTTTCTGTATGGTTCTTGTTACCCTGATCTTCGCTCTACTCGGCTTCCTCTCCCCCTCAAACAGAGGTGGGATAATGACAGCTATGCTTCTACTCTGGGTTTTCATGGGCATGCTTTCCGGATACGCCTCAGCTTGTCTCAAGAAGAAGTCCTAGGGAACAGAGTGGAAGAAAATTACACTCAAAACGGCTGTTTTGTTCCCTGCAACCGTCTTTGCCATTGTCTTCGTTCTAAATGCTCTGATATGGGGCCAGAAGTCCTCTGGAACAGTACCATTGGGAACCTTTTCTCTGGTATTTTTATGGTTTGGCATTTCGGTCCCGCTTGTTTTCATAGGCGGTTATATTGGTTTTAAGAAGCCAGCAATTGAGGATCCAGTGAAAACAAATAAGATCCCAAGGCAAATTCCTAAACGTGTATGGTACAAAACTCGACCTTCTTCATCCTAATTGGTGGCATACTTCCATTTGGTGTCGTTTTCATTGAGCTATTTTCATCCTCACCTCAGTATGGTTGCATCATTTTTATTACATATCGGCTTCCTCTTCATTGTCTTTGTCATTCTTATTGTTACCTGCGCTGAGATCACAGTTGTTCTCTGCTACTCCCAGCTATGCAGTGAGGATTACCTGTGGTGGAGGTCATCCTTGACTTCGGGTTCCTCGGGGCTTTACCTATTCCTCTATGCTGCGTACTACTTCTTCACCAAGCCTGAGATCACGAAGCCAATATCCGGAATTTTGTACTTCGGGTATATGTTGATTGTATCTTATGCATTCTTCTGCTCACGGGAACAATCGGTTTCTGTGCTTGCTTCTGGTTCAGAAGGCTTATCTACTCATCATTAAAGATAGATTGATCTTTTATTGCAACTTGAGCGATGCTCACTGAATAGTTCTTTGTATATCCTGCAATTTTGTCAACTAGTTTATCTCTGTTATTAAGGAAAATAAATAATAATAAAAAAAGGATTCAAATCAGTGCTTTGCATGGTATAAACAAGCTCTTTGTTGGAAATTCAAGAATATCAACTCCAGCTTGGATGCAGAGTTCAACAACTGTAGGTGCAGCTGTCCGAATTTACCGCAGCTAACCTGTATCCTCCATAAGCAACTATGTCGAGCAATGGCACGTCTCCGTCTTCGAGAAATATCCGCCATATGTTTTGCAAGTTGAAAGCTTATATCATTCAAGGAAGATCATCTAATTCAAGAGGTTAGAGCTTCATCTTTCATTGCCTGATTGTAAGATCTTCACCTGATAGGCACTAAATCGGTTTTGATCAAATCTGTTCCGGCACCGAATTGGATCTGTCTGCTTCTTTGCTGCAGCAAGTTGGACAAGATTTGCTCACATCCTCCTGAATTAAATAACAGTGCTATATGTAGGCAGGTCTCTAGCTCTCATCATCAACCAAAAAGACATGCTAATAAAGAAAACTTCTGAAACAACTTGAATTTGGCTGGCATTCATGAGATTGAACGGTGTACTACAAAAACATGCATTACCTGGTTAATTAATCTCTTGATTAAGGGTGCATTTGGTGTATTTGGAAAGGTTGAGTAAGAATTGATGTAATTACGCAGATAATTAGAACATGTTTCGAAAATCATATGATAATCAAATTTAGGTGTAACTCCAAATAATCACACAATTATGAGGAACAAAAATCTTCTACCTCTATTTGTGCTCTATATATTCTCTTCTAATTTCTTTTGACATGTTACAATGATAAGATGTTCCAAATAAGCTGTTTTTGGGCACGGAAACAGTATCCAAACTGATGTACCACTATGTAATCGGACCCATTAACTGTAAAAGCCCCTTTGCAACCTACATATCTTTATCAACTCTATTTCGTCCTCCGGAACCCAAACAATGCATGTGTAGACTGTAGTATTGTAGATCCATGTTCGCATGGCATCTTGCAGCTGCTTCAAGTAGCTTTGACTTTTAAAAGACTGCAATTGCAGGCTCTATCATAGAGAAATGGTACATGTTATATATACTCCGTCAGTCATTTGCCTCGCCTTTCTTCTTCTTCTTTCTTTTCCTGTGTTCTGTCAATGTCAGCTTTCTATGGAATTCAAGATAAGTATTTTAGACAAGGGAAATTGCATTTGCAGCACAATCAATCTCAGTTCTGGCTCACTTTTTCATTTGCACACAAAGTTAAAAGAGCAAATAAAGGAACAATTCTGATCTGTAAACAGTAACAATGAGCACTATTAGTCGTCAATGATTGGGGGGGTGGGGGGAGCGGCCACTTTGTTTTCTATTTGTCATTTAATGATCCACTGGCTTAACTCATAAGCAAAGTTACCAGCACTTGATGATGATGATGGAGAATCCATGGCATAAGCTGAAAGCATATTTATTTCCTTTGGATGAGTCATGGGTGTTGATGCTTAATCTTTAAGTTCACACACACATGTCCATATCAGATAACATTAATTATTGGGAAAAGGCTAGAGTTCTTTATCTGAAACTAACAGTCGTCCATACACAAACTAAAACCATTCATATGCATCACACATGTGATTTGTTTTATCCTTTAGATAGAGGGTTACATAATTTACAATGAATAAATAGAGACCATGAATTCAAATGGTACATAACAGATGAATTGCTGGTTTCTTGTGGGATTGCTGACACATTTAAGCCAATTTAATAACATGGGAAACTATTAAGGAAGCCTGCAAATGGGATTTGATGCTATAAAATTCACTTTAAGTTAACCGACTGTAACTTTCTAACTTGAAGCCAAATTTGGGGTTTATTCCTTTTTTTTAATAGATGATGGGGTTTTTTTGGAAGGTGGTGGGAGAGGAAGGGATCCTTGAGAACAAAGGAAAGTAAAGGCTAGATTAGTGAATTTCACAAGGAGGCTGAAATATTATAAGAAGTGTAATAATGTTAATGTAACTCCAAAAACATTGAAAAGAAATCATGAGTTTGTGGTCTGTCAAAGCCTAAAAGTAAGGTACATTGGGCAGCTGAAACACCCAAGAAGACCAGCACCAACAGGACAAGAAGAACAAACAGCTCAGAAAACAGCAGCAGCAGCATCTTATTTTATCTTTTCCTGCTTTATTTTCAGCAAACCACACATCAAAAGCCACAAAGAAAAAAAGAAAGATGGAAACTCCACGCACCCTCCAAGAGTCCACAACACATCACCAAACTCTTTCTTTCAATGGCCCAGCTCAGCTCAGCTCATCCGGACCAGAATTTATGTTATAGTAGAAGAAAATAAAAGGAAAATATGAAAGAGAAAGATAGACAGGTAGATATGGATGTCTTCAACTGTGCTCCATCAAAAGACCACGTTTACCAGAAATACCCTTCTGCAACCCATCGAAAAAGCCATCTTCATCACTGTCTTAACTCCTCTAAAGTTACAATTTTTATTTTTCACCCAGTTATTATGTGGGCTTCTTGGGGTTTTCTTTGTCTTGGTCAGTTTTCGCAGATTAAACAGGAAAGCCAGAAACTTCCTCTCTCTCTACACTTTTTTCCTTTTTATCATTTTCTTGCCCACTTCTCATTCTTTCTTATCAAATACCCTTCTCCTTTATCCCCCTTGTCTCTTTCTCTTCTTCATGTTTGCTTATTTTTGGCCCTTGTGGGGGTTATTCTCTTAATCTCCTCCTGTGTTCTGGATCATGAAGAAGATGAAAGGGGTTGCTGCTTCTGTGGAGTATTCTCGACATACCATGTATGAGGACCAAAGGGCCAGGTTCAAGCACCAGAGCCTTATGCAGGACTTTCAAGACTTGCACAAGGTACTTTCTTTATGACTGTTTAGATTTTGAGTTACTTTTACTATTTTTTAATTAGATCCGGTGTTTTTAGTTCTCTGGGTTTTTCTTTTGATATAAAATATGAATTGGATATGATCGTTTGGATCTTATTGTTTCAATTGATGTTCTCTCCGTTGTTTTGGTCTTGGGAGCTTTCATAGGTTTGATTGTCTAAGATGATTATAAATATATATTGTTTACTGTAAAGTTTGATGATAGAATTATGATATTTTGCATCAAAACCTTTAAGTTTCATGGCTTTCATGCTGTATCAAATTTAACTGTTTCTGGAATTATAACTTTGTTTATAGACTTGCCTCAAACCCTGAATATAGTCTGAACTTATTTCTGCTTTGTGCTTTACAGGAAACAGTGGCCATGAGAAACAAATTGCAAATGTTGAAAGAACGAAAATCGACCCCTGTTGGCCGAAGTCCGGTATGATCTTGTTCCTCCATAAATTTGTTTTTGGCATCACATCATTGTAATTATTTTGAATTTGATCATATCTTCTTAGGTTTTTCAAAAGGAGACGCAAATTCTTGATGCAGAACCAATCTTCAAGCACACCGGCGAAACGATTCTTGCACCACCACGGAATAAGGTTATCGAGGTAAACCAGATATGAAGGGAAAGCAATCAACCGGAAGAGAGCATTCTTTGCGACACCTAGCTACGAGCTTTGATTTGAACCAGAAGGGAAAGACTTATAGTGAAAAGAAGGAAGTTTACTTTGCGAAGTTCTTTACCAGCTTTGACTTGAACCAGAAGGAAACGTTTTACAGCGAAAAGGATGCTGTTGCTCGAAGCATGGCACCGGTTTTTGATTTAAACCAGATTTCGGTAATTTACTTGTAGTTGGTACGAGTTTTTGTATGTAAATATGTATTTACAATCTTTGATCTTGAGCTAACTTCTTCTCAACTTTTATTCCATTGCAGACAGAGGATGAAGAACTACAGACTAATGTTAACTCAACGAGAATAGAGGAACTCAAGAGAAGTTCATTCAGAATCAGAAACGATGAGCAGCACAATGACATTAAGCTATATACCCTGCTGGAACACCGGAACGGCCCGAGAAGAGTCGGAAAATGAAAGATCAGGTGGCATAGGGTTTAGGTCTCGAACTCGACTTGTAATCGAAAATGCTTAGTTTGAAAGGGGATGATACATGTTAGTCTGGCTTCCCTCCCTCCCTCCTCCCTCCCCTTTCTTATTGCTCTATTCTTCTCTCTTTTGTAAAAAGAAAAGAAAGAAAGAAAATAGTTGCACCTATTTAAGCAATTTATGAAAGATAACGTGGAAGTGGATGCTTGGGAATCTGAAATATTCAAACGAAAATGCTGTTTATTTGCATCACGATCATGGTGGATGCTGGGAGTAATGGAGAAGCAACTTTGTTGTCATATTCCACAATTTTGTCCTAGCCTCATTGTTTTTTTACACTTGCTAAGCAATGGAAGGTGCCGGCTACAATTCCATGAAAAGGCATTTGGATTAGGCCGAAAGTTCTAAACAAAAATATTTTACAAGGATGAGATCATGGAACTATAGTTTACATCATAATACAAACTTGACTAGATGTCAATCGAGATGGACATAATATTTACGTTAGGAAGATAGAATTTCTAAAATTTTAAGATGAGACAACCTTATACAATTTCAAGAAGAACAAAATTAAATTATTAATATATAAAAAATATTTAAAATATATGGTAATTTGAGGTTTTTGAGGGCATAACTGCTATCGCCGCGCTGGAACTAGTTGAAATGTCTGGAGAAAATGAATGTTAGGTTAAGTCTCAATTCATGTAGTCTTCAGATAAGATAGTGGTCTGGGAATACAACCTTGTTAAGGTAGTCAAATTCCCGCCTCTTCATTTAACAACCTTAACTGTGGAATTAACCCCTAATCTCTCCCTCTAATTGCCATCTTAAAGTTTAATAATGAGCACCAATAACAATTGTCAAAACCCCCAGAAACAAGGGACATAATAAATAAAAGAATAGATAGACATCAACCAAAACAAATTACAATGCATAGAGATTCTTTTTCTCTATTTAAACACTAGTCATGCAATAGCACCCCTTATTGATCATCATCATCTAATTCCGGGATTCTCACTTGGTGCCAGTTTCCTCACCTTCCGAATCCTTCAGCAACCTCCCAGCTTCATCATCAGCCCATGCAGTCATCTTCTGAGCTTCTTTAGCCTTCAAAGCCTGCAACTTTGAATGATTATAGTATGCAACACCCAAAAACGCCAGCCCGTATCCGAACAAGTTGATGGGCGTCACTGTATCCTTAATCACAGACCATGAGAAGGCTATCAACAACCAGTCCTTGACAACCCCAGCCACATTCATGGTCAAAGCAGACGTCTTTCCCACGAGCAAGAACACGGATAGATTCAGAGCGAAAGCACATAATGAATTGGTGCCGAAAATGAGGAGATCGAAACGGAAATCCGTCATCACTTTCAGAACCGGGAACTCGACATAAATCCACGGCACCAACAGGAAAACCAAACAGCACGGTGCAACGTAATACAGAGATGTAATGGGATTCAGGGTGATCCTTTAGAAGTAAGCAAGATTTGGATCATAACTAACCTAGTAGCCTCAAGGCAACGGCTCCCAGCTGCAAAATCACACCCCAGGTATCGAATCTAGCTTCCCCGTAAGCAGCGATGGCGACCCCGAGAGAGATGGACAACATGTTGGCCATTGTGTCCGTCTTAAAGGCCTCCTTTTGAAAAGGACTCCAATGGAATAAACGGCCACGGGCATGAGGCTTTAAGCATCTGAATGAAGGAAACAGACAGGTAAATGTAAGCGGAATTGGAGAGCCAGAGGCTGAGAGAGTAAAGGGCGCCGATGGGGACGACGGAAGAGAGATAAAGGTCGCGAGACATGGAAACGGGCTCGACTAATCGGAAGACCTTGATGAGGAGGAAAGCAAGGGTGGAGCAAAAGGACATGTGGATGATGGTTAGAGAAATGGGGAAAGGCCAATTGTACATCTTCTTGTCGAGGATGTACTTGTAGACGATGACGGAGAAGCTGAGGAAGATCCAGAGGAGACATAGGTGTAGGAGAGAAGGATGTTCTTGAGGACGCTGTGACTCAAAGATCCAGCCTTTTCCATTTTTTTTGCTTGGGTTTTTTGGGAGACACCCAGATGTGGGAAGAAGGAGGAGGAGAAGATGGATAGAGGAAGGAGAAGAGGTCAAGACAAAGAGCGGATTTATGGGGGAAGTTCAAAACATTGGTTTTTATAATGTACGTGAATGTCCGTGTTGTATTTGTTGCTGTAAGCCTGTAAAGGGCCTCTCTTGGCCCTTTTTCTCATGTTTATCATATATTTCTTCCTACCTTTTACTCTTGTGGTTACTAATTCAAAAAAAAAAAAAAGTCATAGTAATATAAATCTAAATGTGAATTATATTTTAATTGGTTGATCAAGTTGTTTATTTTTTTCCTCTTACATTTAAAATAATAGAATAAGTATATTTAATTTGTTAATTAAATTCTACATCTTTGTCTCATCATATTCTCTTAAGGTCATGAGTTATAGACCTATTGAGCATTCTTTTCCTTCTCCTGTAATCCCCTTCCCCTTGCTCTAGGTGGGATTATAATTAGTTTTAAAAATTTTCAAAAACAAAATATAAAATAATAAATTGATAAAAATAATTTTTTGAAAAATTAATAAAAATATTATATAAAAATATTTATTTTTATTTTTTATGTAGTAATGTTTGATTATCTTATTTAAAAACTATAAAATATATTAGAAAAAATATCTCTATAATTATATTATTCATTATTTAAAAAACAATCTTGATCTTAGAATTTACCCAAATAATTTATAATAAAAGAGAGAATTAAAGTTGTTATGGATCTAATGTCCCATAACAAATACTGAAGTGATGAATGATTTGTTGAAGCCTAGTCAATAAATACTTTATTTAAAAAATAAAAATATTATATAACATAAATTTTATACAATTTATATATCAAAATAATAAATCTTTATTTAATTTCAACAAAAAAAAATTATGTTACAAGACAACATTTACAATATAAGAACACACATTCCAGATTGCAAGTAAGGAAAAAGGGGCCTAGTGTTGTGTCACTCGTTGTATATAGGGTCAAAACAGGATATGTGTGCCAAGACCAATCATGTATTTGATTTCATGGCATAATTAAGAATTTAAATTATAGTTGGTGATCGTGTTTTTAATTATATTGAATTTATCGTGATTACAACAAGAACGAGTGTTATTATAATAATGACTGGTGAGATTGTGGGTCCTAGCTGCAACTGAACATGATGAGGACATAACTATAGCAGAGATTGATTATTCAATACTTGAGCAGCTAAGGATGGATCTCCTTTTGGCAAAGCAACGGAGTGGTGATCTCTATAAGTTGGTACATGTTCGGTGACAAAATGTTGATTGATTCGAGAAGAGAACCATGTAAAGAGCTGTGGTCAATGGTGAGAATTTTCCTTAAGAAACGAGGAACTCTACTAGAAATCATGGGAATGATATACTCCTTTATCCGGATGAAGAAAAATCAGTCGTTAACGGGATGTTAATCATTCTAATGAAACCCGTATTTGAACAATAATCGGATGTGTTACTATTTTCTTGTACACACCTAACATTTACATTGAGTTGTTATCGCATATATATATAAGAGTGGACAATTGATATATTGTTGGATTGATCTATAAATAAAGATGTGTTTTAAGAACACCATCAAAGAGTATCCCTACAACCCCTAGAGATGGTATAGATAGGGATGGACTGAAGGAAGTTAGCCGGGTTGATCATGTGCATCTATTATGTCTCACAGTTTTGATTCAGTTTGTAGCTCCTCAAACTAAATCATCGTTAGATGGGCATGAGATGCCACATTAGGCTATAGAAGCGGTCACCACCTTTAATTTTTTTCCATTTCTTTTCAAAACACAATATGTAATGATAAAACACAACATAAATAACAGTTATAAAATATTTATACAAACCAATGTTTCGTGACACTGTAATTTGAATCAAAATAATACAAATTCTAAAGTTTATAAACCAAATACATGATTAAGTGTCCTCAAACAAGCTCAAACTACTAACCTACGAACGAAAACATCTAGACGTTAAGCTTTACAAACTCAATATATATCATATCACTAATTTAATGAATATATCATGAATCTCATAAATATAAGCATATTAACTAAATATATAATAAGCAAAGAGTATATAAAGATATTTCACAATCTATAACATGGCATGATTAACATCAACAATATAAGTTTGATGTTTTCTTAATATGTAACTAAGGGCCTAGCTATGAACACATTATAGTCACTAGATACAAATTATATCTCAATCACACGCGTATACACAATCACTACATATTGTTCATCGTTTATCCATGATCTACACCTTAAGATCAGTATACACAATTTAATCTCTAGCTTTAGGGTTTATACCCATAATATCAATCTTCTCTATGACTCCAATATTAGCGTACATTAAATCATACACATAACCACAATGTCAGCACCCGAATTGTAAGCAAGTAAAGAGGGGTTTAGTGTCGTGGTCACTCTTTGTATAGGGTCATAACCGGATATGTGTGTCAAGATCAATCATGTGTAAGACTTTATAACATGATAGAAGAAACATAAACAAAAAATACATCACCTCAAGCATTTTAATTTCTACATCTAGTATTTTTTATTAAGTTATTTTCGTTTATATGTAAGGTGGACAGTTGACGTGTTGTTGGATTGATCTACATGTAAAAGATATGTGTCTTAGGAATATTATTAAAGGCTACTCTTACCGTCTCTATCAATGGTGTGGTGAGTTTCTTTTGTAACGTCCAATGCCTTATTTTCAATAATGGTATATTTTTCAATTTAGGGAATGCATGATTGATCATGTGCATTTGTGATGTCCTATGATTTTCGAAAATTTCAAATGAACATATATTTCAAATATTTTATTTATATTTTCTATTAATAATGTATTTTTATTTTTAAAAATTTTATAACTTTGTCATATTATAAAATTATAGAAGTTTGTCTCTTAACATAAAATCATATTTTTACCCCGAGTATAAAAAAATTTAGGATATTGAGTCAAAAATTAGATGGCAGAAGTCTTGCATTGGAGAAACTAAGCAACAAAAACAAATTAATGAGTATTCCAACCATAATCTTTCCAGCTTTTCCTTTAAAAGAGTTCAAAAATTCAAAGTCAGAAAATTGTTCAACATAACATAAATAATAGTAGACTTTTAGGAGGAAGGAGACATGGATGGGGAGGGCCATCTTTCTTTTTCAACTCTTTGTTAAGGTCAAAAATATTTCTTTAAGGACCCATTTTACTCCACGTTGAAGATTCCATCTTTTCCTTAGGACTAGGTAGGGGTGCATTCGGTTCGATTCGGTTTTTTACTAAAAATTGAATCAAAATAAATAGTTTTTCAAAATTTAAATCAAAACCAAATGGTTAAAAAACCCGAAAAAACCGAAACTGATTTTTTCGGTTCGGTTCTTTTTTTTAACGGTTCAAGTTTTTCGGTTCGGTTCGATTTATCGGTTTTTCAATGAAAAAATCACTTGAAACTATAATTTTTTTTTAAAAAAAAACTTCTTATTCGGTTCAATATGGAACAAATGAGTTCTATATGGAAAACCCGAACCGAACCAAATCAAAAGAATTGAGACTTTAAACTGAACCGTTTAATGCCAAATCGAACCGAACTATTTTACTCGATTCGTGTCGATTTTTCGATTTTCTCGATTTCGTTGCTCAGTGCTAGGACCAGGAGTTAGTCTTTTACAAGTTCAACTGCCACGTTGAAAGGATTGGAAATTGACTGACAAAGACGGAAAGTTTTACTGTATGACAGTTTTAATATACAGTAAAAAAATGTTACTGATTTTATTATTATTTTTTTTAATAAAATTGGCAAAGAATTATTTAAATATCATTATTTCTACTTAAAACATTAATTTTTTTTATTATTTTCGGTAAAGTGTCAAATAATAACAAAATAAGTAAAAAAAAATAACAAAATCAGTAACGCTTAATCAGATATGTGTATAGTAAATACATATTATCAGCCATTTATGTGTGACAGTAATTAATGTAATTGCTGCTACTCTCTTCAATTTTCCCTTTTCTAATAATAATACAGAGTATGTTTATTACATTATATTAGAAATATGATTGGATTAAATTTATTGAACAGTCTCAGTGATCAAAATGAGTATTGTTATTTTTTAGATATTTTCGATTCAAATAGTTGTATCTTCAAGGTATATGGATATTGTCAATAATTAAATTTTTTTTTGAACATATACTACTTTATAATTATCTAAAATTATTTAAAAACAAATATACATTATTAAATTAATTCATGTATATATATCCAAGGATAGACTGAGAGCGAAGACTGAAACTCTTTGAAAATTTTAAGTTTTAATATAATTTAAATATTATTTATTGATAATCTAATTATTATCGTATACATGTATTTAACAGATAATCATCAAACATATTTAAGATTCGAATCCAATATCACATTAAAATGTAGAAAGCTGGCGTATATTATTATATGCAAGAGAAGCGGACTGTGGTTCCAGATCATATTTAGGAGAAGTGAATTATGTCGTCATGCATGCAGGCTAAGCCAAGCGGTCCATCCGATAGCTACAACCGATTTAACAGGAATCCACAAAACAATGGCGTCCATTACTTGAGCTTCGATAAATTTAAAAGCAGTAGATAGAAAAATGGTAAGATTTAACATCCAGCCATGCTAATGCATTCCATATCTCTCATCAATTTCTTGTCAATAAACCATAACAACGAAATAGGATAATTGTAAGATTTTATGTTAAGAGATGAACTTATAAAAGATATTAACTTATAAATTTTATGGGCGAAATCATATTATCAAAAATAAAATATGCAAAAAATTAAAATTTTTAGAAAGGTGACTGCTACTCCATCCTCTTGGTCCATCCCTACAACGTACATCTTTCCCCATTACTACGAACGACATTAACTACCATCCAGCTACTTTCATTTTGTATTGTTATTATAATATCTACCATCAAAACAAGTTAATTTTTTCAATTTTTTTTTCTTTTTGCATGGTGCTTGCGTGTTAAGAAATTTAAAAAATTTAAACAAATATTATTTTATAATCACTTAAGATTATTAAAAAAATTCTGAAACTTTAGGCAGTTAAAAATTGAGAAATTAGTCCCTCTGTTTTAATTTTTCATAATTTAAACATTATTCTTTTATGAAAATTTATAACTTGATTCAATTAGATAACACTATTAAATTTTATCGTTAAATTGTTAATATGAGAATCAATAATTCAACCATTTATATGTAAGAAATTAACAAAAATCATCAGTTGAGCAATTTATATACAACAAATTAACAATAAACAACAATTCGAGTTCATATGTTAACTTGCAATGGAATTAGTTTCTCATTTCTCGATTATTTAAAATAAATGGGCTAACTTCTAAATTATGGAATTCTATAGTAAGTTATATCCTTTCTTTTCATTTCTCGAGTAATTCTTCAATCATCTGCAATGCAATCCTGTCTTCTTCTCCCATTACATGACTTTCGCCTTCAATATTATCAGCTACATTAGGCAGCGACGATGACGACTCCTGTGATAATGCAGGTGCTGGTGTAATCATCTTTTTATTCCCGAGCTCAACTCTCATGACCCAACTGGAACTCGAACGAGTGCCTGCACGTTTTTGCCAGACTCCAATATGAGCATTATCGGTGTCGAGCCTGAGGCAAGTGAGGGATGGAGATTGGTCTTTGCAACACTTTCTGAGCTTAGCATTGAGAACCTCAGAAAGAGCATTGCCCGGCAATGGAGTCTCATCTACTTTACGACCGCCATCTTCGTCACTGGCGGCAGGGAAATTGGTCTTGGCATTTCGTCCGTTCATCAAAATGGCAGCCTGATCATATGCTCTCGCCGCCGCCTCTGCCGTCTCGAATGTGCCTAGCCACACTCTTCTCTTCCTGTACAAGATATAAAAAACACAATCAAAATCACAATATATATATACATATAAATATGCGGGCAGGGTGGCTTACAGTAAAGGATGGCGAATCTCGGATACCCAAGAGCCCCACTGACGCTGCCGGACACCTCTGAACTTCCTTGTCTGTACCATGTCTTATTTTTGGAGAGAAAACCTTGCGGACATCCTCATAAATATGGAAGCAGAGGCCATGGGAATTATTGGTGTCGGCGGATTGAATGGAAACCGGAGACTCCGAGTAATTAGTACTATGAGCAATAAAGATTTTCACCTACGCAGACATGTCAGAAAACTAGGTTTCGCAACCGCAAAGAATAAATTAATAATATCATGTTGACAATTCTCTTCGCTTGTAGCGGTTATAGTTAGTGATTGCGTACGCACGTAAACATATTCTCATTATCAACTACGTATGTAGTAAAGTTTTCGACCCATTTAGAAAGCTAAGAATTGTACGAAAGAGATGGAACTTTGGGTGAATGAGTTATTAATATGGTAAAATATGTATTTAGTCACATATTTATTCCCATAATTTTATTTTGATCATTTAATTATTTTCTTTCAAAATCGTAGTAACATTATTTTCTTTCAAAATCATAATACCATATTCTTGCGGATGAATTGTATGTAAGAGATAACTTTGGATGAATGAGTTATTATCAGGGTAAATTATGTATTTAGTCATTCACCTATTCTTGTTGTTTAGTTTTGGTCACCCAACTTTTTTTTTCAAAATCATACATAATGTTATGTTTTGGTCACATATTATTAAAAAATTAACAGTGGTGTTTATATCTCACTATAAGATAATGTCATATCATCATTGGAAAAAAAATTAATTGCATGCAATCAAAACATAATATTATGTATGATATTGAAAAATATAGTTAGATTATCAAAATAAAATCACGAGAATAAATGAGTGAGTGAATACATTGTTTACTCTTATTATTATTAGGTGTGATCTAAAGTTCTTTTTTCTTGCATTGGCACGGGAATTTCTAGCTTTTGAGTTGGCATATTAAATATTCATAGGAACTTAAATAGTTAGTTGATTATTAAACTAGTGAGCCGACTGTGATTTTTATGGCAAAAGTGATTTCAATTTTTAGTGGTGAGGATTAGGTATCTTTTAGTTTATTGGTTTCCTTCAACCTTTACATCCGGCAGCAAGGTCCTCCTATGATTGGCTAAAATGGTAGGATTTTGAAGCAATTTGGGTCATTTAAAACTCATGGCATCTCTTCATAACGCAACTGTCAACAGCACAATTGAATCTCATAATAAGTAATAAAAAGCCTGAATCAAGCTTCTAATTAGAACTTGTTTTATTCACATAATCTAAAATTACTTTTAAGAATATGATTTTTAGAATATAATATTATTGATATATTACAAAGAATTTTATATGCCACTTTTGGATTATTTGGTATAATATTTGATGATAATATTTAGTTCGAAAAGTATAAGATCATTTGAAAGTAAATTTTATCAAAGTGTCGTTAAGATATATTTTAATTTCAATAATTTAAATTTCTAATATTAAATTAAAAATATTTCTATAAAATTCATATAATTTATCATGAAATTTCAGAAACAAACACATCTTAAGAGAAATTTGAGAGAAAAATTATGAATATTAAAAGAAAATTAAAAAGATTAATCTTTCTAAATTTTATGTGAGGGAAAAGAGATTAATTTATTTTTATATAAATCATTTTTATAATCTATTTTAGGTAAATTCTCTCCATATATATATTTATTATATTTTTACAAGAAGTAAAAAAGTTTTCTATAAATTTGTAATACGTTATATAACAATTTATATTTTTAATCACTAAAGTGAATCTTTTTAAAGATGGACACATGATTCAAATTTGTCAGGTTTCGACCAGACCCGATCCTATTGGGTCAGACTTTTTCTTTAAAAAGTTGGGTTCAGGTCGGTTTAGGGTGAAAATATTTGACCTGATCCGATCTAAAAAATATAATTATATTTTATATATTTAGAGATATTTGCAATAATACTCTTATGTATATTATTTTTTTCAATTAGATCCATATTTTTATCAAATAAAATTAATATTTTTATAAATATATTTATCGCGGATCGGATGAGATTCGAGTTTTATGTCAAAAAGACGGGTCGGATTCGGAATAGATAAAGTTATTCTAAACCCTGATCAGATCGATTTTCAAGGGATGATCAAAATACCCCAAACTAGATGGGTCCCGACCTGACTCGACTCTATTGGATGAGTTTTTTTATTGAATTTTTAGGGTTTGGGGCAGGGTGAGGCTGGTTATATACTAAGCAGATTCGAGGAAGGGCGAGGCAGGGTTTAAGGTAAAAAATATTGGCCCGACCCAATCCAGTATAAAATATATAATATATTTAGGATTTTAAATATTTTTTATTTTATAATGTTAAAATATATTATTTAATTATTAAAAATATATTAAAATATTATGAAATATATTATTTTAATAATTTAAAATATAACAAATGATTATAAATATATTATTATTAAAATAATTTTTATTATTTAAAATATTGATATATTCGGGTCGAGGTCGGGGTTATAGTCTAAAAATCGGGACATGTTCGAGACGAGGAAAAACCTAAAAATTATCGAGACGAGCGGGTCGAGTATTAATAAAATATTTTTGGGTCATGGTCGGGGCATCCAAAAACCCGCCCTGCCCCACCCCGTGCCCATCCCTAGTGAAAGATATAAATTTTTTGGGTCATATTAAATTGACCGAAAACTAGACTCAATTCAACCCATGTTCATTCCTAACTCTGCTACATGATATTATCACTTTTTTATTTAGAGTTTGAATTTTCAATCATTTCTCATTATAAAAAATATATATAAGTCTAAACAACATTCAATTAAGTTTACGGGTTATTTCATATTTGTGTATTTTCCATTCCATTTTAACTAATGTTTTAAGAATGTACGAATTAAATGATTTTAGTAGTTTAGGAATTTGTTGTTATTTTTTGAGATCTTGAGTTCAAACATCGCGTTTGTAAGAGTTTGAGCTTTCATTATTAAAGAACTAAAAATCTTTAAACAGATGCTATAACTTATATTCACTCTAAATTTATAAAAAAAACTTTTATTTTTTTTTTGCTAAGTTCCCATTTGGTGATATTTTATGATAATTGTAATTTAAAGAGGAGAAGGATGATATAAAATTCGAATCCAAATATTTAATGGTAAAAAGGTGATTCAATTATGTGGACCGTGACGGCAAAAAGAAGTTAAAGTAGTAGAAATTATTTACTTGGAAAGTAAATGTTATGTTGTTCTTAATTAGGGGGTAGGTTAACTACTCATCCGTTGGCATTCTCCCATTGGTGAATAGGTGAAGGCAATGCATATGTACATCAAATTAATGGCCAAACTCATCATTTAGTTTCAACTAAAATTTATAAGTTCGCAATAATTCTACCCACCAACTCGTCTTTGGGTCAACAATTTCTCTATTGAACAAAGTATGTTAATCCAATATCAAATTAAACAGTTCAAAATAATTTATAATAGTAAAATTAGAGAAAATAACATATCTAAAAATATTTTTGAAGATGAATAGACATATATAAATAACATAAATTATAACCTAAATAAACTTAATTATCGATAACTATTCAATCACTACAATTATAAGAAAATTTAACTTAATTATTAAATAGAAGTCAATATCTAACAATTTGTTTATGAGTTTCTTTTTTTTCCTTTTTCTTTGATGCACACCGTAGATATAAGCAAAATGGCTGTAAAGATTTGTAGAAAGTTGTAATATATTGAAGATAAAGATGGAAGCCACTTAGTGGCTACAACAAGTAATATGAGTTTTATTTTATAAATTAGGTTGATGTTATGAATAATAATGAGTAATTGATAATAAAAATAGAATAGACATACAGATTTTACATAAAAGTCATTCCCAGAAAAAGGTTTTTACCATACCCTGAACAAATTACAAAAAGAGATTGTAAGAGGTGTACAACGAACTCTAAATACGCTGCAATTCATACCAAAACCATTACTAGATCTAAAAAGTAGTTCCGTTTCTAGGATGAAACTTGAATAGGTATGATTTTTTTTTTTAAATGGTACCAAAATGAAACAAAAGTGATTATGCCTTGAGTGAATCCCCTCGCATAGCAACCCTCATTTTCTATGATTCCTTTTTCCTTAAATTTCTTGTGAGACGTGTACGTATCTTGTTCCTGGGCAAAATGTGAACAAAACATCAATGAAGTAAAGCTGTTTCCCCACATGATTCTTCTCCATTTTCTGATAAATTTTGCATGTTCACGGACTGCAAGGAATGTTTTTAATGTAAGTCAGTGGCTTAATCATAACAAAGGAAAATTTTGATTGTGGTGGGTTGATATAACTACAAATAAATGTACTAAAAATCTATGACATATGATTATTAAGGTTTCTGGAACAATCACCTCGTAATTAACAGGGACGAATCTACATGGTGCTTGGGAGGGGGCACTTTCCCACCATAAAACACACCTACATCCACTACTGTCCCTGGTTATAGGTTTCCTATAAAATGATCTTTATTTTGTAAGCCCGCGTACTAATTAATTATAGGAACTAATTTGGATTAAAAAGTCAAATATATGCACTAATTTGTACAAGAATCCAAGTTGAGGCATTTCATTGGATAGAAAACAGTTTATGTACCAAGTTAAACCATGGAACTGAATTTAGTTACTAAAATATATATATACCCTAAATGACATCCTTCTTCTTGTAAATGAAATCAAAGAAAAAAGTAATAATTTTATTACGATGGTTGTTGGTTGCTTGAAGAATATCCAATACCTATTTTAGTGAACCTTTATTGTCCACTGCTGCATCAAACTTTACAGCAAATCGACTGTGACCTATTGACTACATTACAAGAAATTTAGACTAAAATTTTGAAAATTATAAACATTATTTATATGTTGTTGCTGTGAAAAGTTTACCTAAATTTATGGTTACTGTGCAAATCTGTCACTGTACTTTACGAGAACATTGAACCTTCGCACTAAACTTTAATTGATATTTATTATTTTACTTTTTGAATAAAGGTAAATTTAATGCTATACTCCAAGT